GAAGAATATCGAAAAATGTTCGCCGACATACAAAAGACTCCAACATCAGATGAAAATATTCAGCATAGAATGGAAGAACTGAAAGAAAGTGTACGCAAATACAACAATCCTTTTTACTTACGACCATATAACGTTCAATCTTTGGCTGAACTCGGTGAAAATAAAAGGTTAAATTTCACCAAAACATATAGAAATGAAACATTGTTTAAAGTTCATTCAGAACCTAACCAATATGGAAACAAACCTACTTTTGTTTCTGCAGACTATGGAACTACAATGAGATGGGGTCATAAAGCTAATCCGGATAGGTGGTTCATAAACTTACAACCTCAATTCCAAGAAGTTGTAGACGCAATGGAAGTGAATGGTGAACCAGATATAGCTGGTATTTCAGCGCGGCTTTAATGCCATTGAAAGATATGAAACATGCAGATATTTTGGACCAGTATGAAATGAACATGGCTGAAGGAAATATAACACCTGACGTTCTAGAACATTTATCTCAAAGAACTACACAGAACCATAGAGATGGTATATTTGGTGAAGAGTTTAGAAAGAAAGTTAGGGAGATAGAAGGAGAGAACCTATTGTACATGACCTTGCAAACGAAAGTTTACAAAATGTCATAAAAACTTACTTTGCAGACAATGAACTGAGAAGGGATGAATATTTAAGAAAACTCAAATGGACAGTACCAAATGAAATGTTAGTATTGAAAAACATGTTCCTTGACAAAATAAAACCAACTACAGAAATAAATGACGCAAGCTGAAACGTTGGGTAAAAGCTTTCCCATTCACAAAAGATATTATTTGGTAACATGGAAAGAAACCAGAATGGCTACAAAAACATATATTTGGAAACGAGCTTATTCCATATGGACAAGCTATATTTGAAGAGCTTGACCGGAAACTCAGGAAAGAGTCATGCAAACAATAAGCGAAGACTCAAATACAAACTATGACAAAATCTTTCTAGGATATAGGTTACCTGAGATGGGCGACCAGAGCCCAAAGGCAAAAAGGACATGGGAAATTTACAACATACTAGGTGAACATGAGGCAAAGATGCAACAACTTAAGCAGAGGGCAAGTTACCAAAGCGACACCAAAGAAGAAGAGAAGAGTAGAACAAAGTGAAAGTAGTGAAGAAGTAACTTCATCTAGTGAAAGTAGTGGCAATGAAGGAAAAAGAAGAGTTAAAAACTCAGTCAGGAAGAAAGTAAAGCTTGGTCGCAGTGTTCTATTATGATATATAAATTCAACTATTCTATATTTTTACCCATATGAAATGTACGCCGCTCAGAATATAACGCCAACAGTTTTGGATGCCATGAACGGAAATGTTTCCGAATGGTATAACGAATGCGACAATGCCATTAGAAGGTCAGAAATAGTTCTGGAACTTACGAATATACAACTGCTGTTTCTTATGGAAACGTAGGTGAGTTTGGAGAAGGTCTTCAACAACAGTAGATATTGCTTGCGACAGGTTTCACATTATTTCTATTGACAACTCATTCTTATACGTGGAACAAGACATTGAAATAAAACCTTCTGCCAAGTTGTCTGACAAGAAAGGTTGCAATGGAATTTTCTATGTCGGATACCAATATGCTCCAGAAGTTTTCATGGATATAAGATATATTCTAACTCTGACTTAGTTCAAACAGTAACATGGGCAAACTATGAATGGTTCGCTTGAGAAACTCAGTACAACCACAAGCTAGAGAACAAACAGACCAGTATGCAAATATTGAGAAAATAAGAAGACTTGACCCTAACGTTCCAGGAGTTATGTTAACCTTTCTGGTTCAGATGGAACTGCTGCCACTAAAGTAAAACTGAAACTTAGAGTTCCTTTGTCATCTTTCCTCATCTTCAGGTTTTTAAGATACTTGCCAAACTGGGCAGGAAAAATTTCTATCGAACTTACTCCAAGCAAAATAACTTAGTCATTGCACCAACACAAGACCCATTCACTATTACTGTAGCTGGAACGGTGGAGCCAAGTTCTGTGACTTTTGCAAAGACAAAGTTGACTTAGACTTTGGTTTCTCAAACTCAACAATGAAGTAAACATTATTTCAATGCTGCTGGAACTGCTTGGGACCCAGTTAAGTTCACATGCGAAAAATTTGAATGCAAGAGAATAGAAAGCAGACTTGCAGTCTATATGTTGGACCCAGATATTTCAAATGCTTTAGCTGCCAATATATTGCAGTTCCACTTATGTTCCCTATACACCAAATATCTGTCAAAGACTTTGCAGGTGAAGTTGGAAACCAAAGTGCTGACCCAGGTGCAAGAACAGATATTGCTTTAACAACTGCAATAAAACATGCAGATACTATGTTTGTACTGTTCAGACGAACTATAAATGACTATTCTTGTTTCTACAACCCCGGTATTAATATCATATAAACATAGATGGCAAATATTATCCAAGAGAAGAATATTCTACAGTTGAGGATATGAGGTCATACAACTTACATTAGATGCTATGAACTTTAACAACAACTTCACAACAACCATTAACCCTGAAATGCAAAGTTCTATTATGCCATATGTGAAAGTATGGACTCATACAGGAGGTCAAAAAACTCAATATACAAATGGAGACCGTTCAAACTTTTGCTTGGCATTCCATTTGCTGACTCAGAAGACTTTATGGTGGTATTTCAACTGTTGATCTCTTCTTTCATCAGCCATGTTCATTTCAACTGGTCCAAAATATCTGCATGTTTCATATCTTTCAATGGCATTAAAGCCGCGCTGAAAATACCAGCTATATCTGGTTCACCATTCACTTCCATTGCGTCTACAACTTCTTGGAATTGGGTTGTAAGTTTATGAACCACCTATCCGGATTAGCTTTATGACCCCATCTCATTGTAGTTCCATAGTCTGCAGAAACAAAAGTAGGTTTGTTTCCATATTGGTTAGGTTCTGAATGAACTTTAAACAATGTTTCATTTCTATATGTTTTGGTGAAATTTAACCTTTTATTTTCACCGAGTTCAGCCAAATTGAACGTTATATGGTCGTAAGTAAAAAGGATGTTTTGTATTTGCGTACATTTCTTTCAGTTCTTCCATTCTATGCTGAATATTTTCATCTGATGTTGGAGTCTTTTGTATGTCGGCGAACATTTTTCGATATTCTTCTACTTGTAGCCGAATTTTTCTTAGACTCTTGGAAAGATTCCATATTCCCCCATATCTTGTTGAGGGTCAAGATTTTTCGGCTGTTCCAAATCTTCATCTAGTTCTGTGAAGTTAGTTTCCAAAGGAGGGACTTGTTCGTTTCCTTCAGGCTCTTCTAGCTGTTGTTGCTGAACTATTTCTTCCATGTCTGGTTGTATCTGAACTTCTTCCTGTGGAGTTTCTTGTACCTCATCTGCTGGCATTTCATATATTCCGAGACCGTTTTAAAAAGTTCCCTATTAAGTCATCCGCATTCATAAACCTTTCTTCTTTCGTTCCGTCTCTATTTTTTACGCGTTTCATGAAGATAGTTGAATTATCATTTATCTCTGACACCAAATATCTCGAGTAAATTCATCCATGTCATTTGGATGATATGCTATTAAATCATATCCCTTAGCGAGCTTGTATTTTCCAGGTTTAGATTATATCCATTTGGTGCTGAACCATAAAGCTAAATAGGTTCGGGTCAGTATTTCCTTCCTTGAACTTTTTAATAGCTTCTTTATATCTGTCACTAAAGTCAAGAGTATCTGGGTAACCATAGTCTTCCTTAAGCATTTTTAAGAATTCTTGGTTTTCTTGTTCTCTACTTCTTTTATGTCCTTGCTCTGTTTGTGTTGTTGTGTGCAGTGTTTTGAACTGTTGGTTGTGGTGCAGTGTTTTGAACTGTTGGTTGTTGTGTGGTTGTGGTGCAGTGTTTTGAATGTTGTGTTGTGTGTTGGTTTTTTGGTGCTATGCCTGTGTCTGTGTCCATGTGACGATGTAAATGTTTTAGGTAGTCCTGGTGCAGGTGCTTCTCTTGGAGGGTTTGGTGGTATATAAGTTCCACCAGCTGGCACATATGTTCCATCTGCAGCATAATGTCCTACCTGACTTTTCGTTTTAAGAAAGCATTTACTAGGTCTGTTTTGGTCTGTTGTAACTCTTTTTCTTGACTTTCCACAACAGTTGCTCTAACGGCGTCATAGGCACTTTGAACTGCCTGTCTCGTTGCTGCATCTGTTATTTCGTCATATTTTGTGCTACTTCTCTTAACTCTTTGTCGAAACCTTCAGACTTCAGTTTCTTTCCAGATGAGAAGTCGTTCACTAGTTTCACCTTACTATGAAGAGCTTCGAAGGCGTTCTTAAAGTCAGCATTCATTAAAGCTTCATTTGAACTGTCTTCATCCGCTTGTATTTTTGTCCTTATTGACCCTATAAGTTGGGCTGCTTTGGCGTTGGCTTGGGCATCTAACCAGTCATTATTAGCTTTTATATATTCTGCGCTTTTCATTGCCTTTTGCATGGCTGCGTCGTTATTTTTACTTTCTTGTGCTAAGTTTTCATACTGTACGGTTTGGTTTTGCAACTGTAAAAGTTTTTCTGCCTTTACATTTGCTTCAACTTCTTTTTTATACTCATCGCTATCCATATATGTCTTCAGGGCTTTTTGTTTTATCTCTTCATCTTTCAGTACTTTATATTGAGTAGTATGGTTTTTCAAATTTATAACATCTTGTTCCATTTTTGCTACTTCTGCTGCTTTTTCTGACACTTTTTTCGCATATTCCTCTGTACTTAGTTCTTTCAGTTGTTCTTCTTTCTTCTTTTTCTCTACGTTTAACTCATTGAGTTTCTTTGTGTGTCTGTCATATTCTAGTTTCTTTTCGTTTTCACTTATTTGTTTCTGTATGTCTATGTTTGACTTTTGACATCTGTTATTTGATTTTTGAGTGAACTCAAATTCATTTGAC